TAATTTAATAAGAATTAAAAAAAAACCTATTTATTCGATGCTTTTCTTAAGTACTTTTGTTCAATATAAAAATTTTATGCCTTCCTAAGATACTTGTAATTTGTAGTCGTTGGAGTTTGAATTTAAATTTAACGTTTTGAAGTCTTTCTGAAGAATATTTTTGTGATCATATGTAATGGTGACAAATGAAATGTTTTAAAATTTCAATAATTCAATTTAGGGCGCGTATTTTGTGTCGGCATGCGAATAAATCATAATTATTCTTCGAATGCAGGGATTTTGTATAAGAATTTTCTTGATCTGTTTATTCGCATTGAAGAACCGAGACACAGCACTTCCGGGACTCCCTAACGACCGCTTCATCTAAATATGGATTATTTATTCCTCTTTATACATCAACTCTAATCAGACTGAATGATAAGTTTTTACTCAAAGTGGATATAAACATTACTTTTGATTTTACTACCATCTAAGAGAATCTCCTTCTTTAGTTTGCATGACAAAACTTACAAGAATGGGCACCTTTATGGTCAATGCAACAATAGGATTAGTGATTATCTATTTAAAACTCCCCAGGGTCTCAACCACATATAACAATAGATAAATGATAAATTTACTACTTGTAAAAGTGTCAGTTAATCACTTTAGAGCACCCCTTTTTGCATTTCCAATTTGAAAAACGTGTAAAATATGCATGGAAACGAAGTTCCACGTAAAGGTAGGTAAAGTTGTAAATCAATTTTTCAATATTGCTGCATTAACAGCGTGTGAAAATATGCGTTTAGCTTCTGAGCTCCGAAGAACGGGAAATTATCCTATAACCCTACCTGTCAAGAACGAGGAACTGTTATGACAGGAAAAAATATTTGTCTACATAATTCTCTTGATTAATGGGATGCTTGCAGTATTAATCACCGGTTTTACGCACCGGTTTCAGCGCTTAAACCCTTTTATACACTTCCTGCTGTAATTTATGTTCAGTTTATTATATTTTAATTTTTGACAGAGTTTGCAAACTTTCCTCTCTCTTTTTGCGAAAGAGGTATTATGTAAATGATCGTCTACGAAAGGATAAGTAGATCTATATGGATAAACGGAAATGTTATGTTTAGATATAGTGATGGATTGGGCAAGTAGGCCAGGGAGTTTCGAAAAGCTCAACAGGATCCTGCACTCGACCAGCTGATTATCCTGCCACCTCTTCTTTGTTCTCAACTTGATATGCACGACATAAAGTGAAAATTTACGATTTTTCGTATTGATCTAAAGCAAAAAGCTCGCAAAAATAAATTACCGTTTCTGAATTTTAGGGTTAAAATTTTCGCCAAGTTGTAATTGTTAAATTTGCTGTAACGAAGTAAAATATTCGCCGGTTGACTTAGTGGCAGCGACCCTCCAACATGTACAAGAATTAAAGATGCGTTAAGTCCAATTTTCTTCATTAGACTCAATCTGCATTCCACCCTTCGCAATGCTCCGCTGCTCTCTTACTTCCAACAACTAGCATTTTTATGAGCCTTATAAATTTGTTTAATTGGTGTTTCATGCAAAGCGTACCACTCCAAATTCATTTGATTGTCTTATAAATGACTGAACCGAACTCGTTTTGTCTTACTGACAATAAAACTCCTTTCGACTAACTTAGCATCACCCAGAAATAAAATGGAAATATTTTAGACAAGACAAACTTTATTAGCTACTTTTAAACGGCTCCAGTTTGATTGACAATGTTATACATTTTTAAACCACTTATTTAATTTCTTTCTAAACATACAGACAAAAATATAAAGTTTTCAATATATTGACAGGGTCGCTAAAAATTATGGATACAGCTAAATATTTTCAGAACGGTTTAGCAAAGCACGTTGAAATTTGGGAAACAGTTTACTTATTTTTTGGTCAAGGTTGAGGAGGTAAAGAGCTAACAATAAATAAAGACAACATTTACAAGGTTAAAAAAATTACATTTTTCAAAATTTAATTAGTTCGATAATTTTCTATTAAAATAAGGTGTTACATGACATAAGTCAGAAAAAAATGTTCTTCTTAAAAATAGTAAATTTAACCCTTCTTACCATTAAAAAAAAACAAATTAAACTTGTATGTCCAGAACAAATGAATATGGAAGTTTGATTAACATCTGAGGCGAGGGAATATAAGTACATTTAGACATACATATACCAAATTTCAATAAGTTTTGATAAATAGTTTTTATAATATTTAACTGTATCCATACTTTTTAGAGACCCTGTAAGTACTTCAGCACAAGCACAACTTTGTAAATAAGCTTACACGAACGGAGAATATTAGACGTAGAAACGGTTATCAGAATTTATTAAAATTTTCGTCAAGTTAAAGCATTGGATATGAAATGATTATAACGGGTGTCTTTTTTATATTTGGTATTTTAGTTGGCGATGACTATTAATTTGTTGTGAACGGACAAAAATGTTTAATACGCTCGACGACGTACAGTCATGGACAGTGAATTTCGTCCACCAAATTTCTGTCAATTCACAAAAATTCACTGTAGTCTGTGTTTTATTGTCATGATAAATGGCATTCCAATACGTATTGTCAAATTTAATCAAAATTCTAACAACTGCGTTTAACAAAATAAAAATTATCTCTCTGATACAAGAAGGTATATCTCAAAGACGTGTCTCTATACTTTTGGGCATACCAAGGACGACCATTTCAAAGGACAAAGGAAAAAAGTCACGCATTCTGTCAACATGACAAACGTTAATCAAAATTCTGAAAGAAGGTTAGGAAAACCTAAAGACTAATTTACACTTTTAATCTTCCAGAGAAATTGGGGTGCACAAAATTCACTATCACTGTACCATCAAATGTGATGGCTAGCTTTGACGCCAAATTTTAATATACACCCACTATTTATCAATTTTATCATACATGCGTCACTTTAGGTATTATAATAGTTAATTTCTAATAATTATCTTTGATACAGGTACTTACTGTGTACAGACATGACAACAAGCAAAAAGTAATTTACGTCATTTTCATTTTGTGTCTGAAAAGTTTATAATACAATATATGCTTTTCTAATTAAACTGAACATTTGACAAAATGAAAATACATATTAATTCTTTTTGAAAATTTTGTATAAAAGAAGTGTTTTTGGTTCAAAATAAATGCAAAGTGGTAATGTTTAATTATTTAAAATTATTTTGACCAATTTTAACTAAATTTTTTGTCTAATTTATTTTTTAATTAAAACAAACATTTAAAATTTACTGAAGCCATCAGCTTTTTTAGTCTTGTCTTAAATATTTTATTACAGCAATGTCACTTACCTACGTAACGATTTAAAGTAAAAACTTGTAGATCTTCTGAGAAGTATCTAACCAGAAATTAATAAGAAATATGTAAATATTTCATTGTTACTACCTTAGAATCGTTTTCCTAAAATAAAAGCAAAAAGTATTTCGAAACTATTTGTTCAAAACACGTAATTTGTTGGTTGCAATGTGTTTTTTTGAGTATTTTATACGACTAAATATGAGTATTTAAGTGTCAAGCAGATTACAAAAATAGTGACTTACTATAACTAATCAAGTAATCACCATCGGTAACACATTATAAATTGTTAAACATTTATACCATTATTTATACAATTATTGCATTTGACAAACTAAAAAAAAATAGGTAAATTTTTTTTTAATATTTCAGGATTCCAATTATTAGATCTGTAGAAGCTTATAAAATAAAAATAAAAACTGTTTTGAATATGTCTTAGAATTTGAGTACCTACTAGTACAAAAATAAATAAAAGTAAAGTCTTTTTTTAATTATTTGCTGGTGGAGAAAGTGAAGCTTCTGACATCTTAGTACTGAAGTCAAAAATTAAAGATTTTCCCTGGCATTAGGTTTTTACAGGGCTTGAATTATGATTGTTCTGACGACATAGAGAGTATAAATATTAGCCTCAAAACAGTTTTTTCCTTTAAAAATAAAATTACAAATGACTTACTTGACGGCAAGATACATTTTTGACGTACGTCACTAGCCCTGCGTTATTTAATAATAGCATGACCAACCTTACACAAATACGTAGCGACAGAGCAACGAAGCTGTTTACAAATGTTGAAAAGAGATAGCCATAAGTACGTCTTTCCAATTATTCCAATTATAAAAAACAGACTATACAAAAATTATTTCGTTTGTTATTATCATCTGATATGTACTAAAAATAATTTTTAAATAGAACTTAATATTTATTTTAATAGTAAGAAATTTAGCAAATTTTGTTAAAGATAAAACAAGTAAAGTTGGCAACGGAACCCTTTGCTATCAAATAAGACGTTTTGAAGCTGTATCATGTCCGAAACAGTCGAATTCAAAGCTCATATCGTGACAAACTTCTGATTCCGGAAACGGTGTGGCGCTCCGATTCGTTCCGGTTATCGCGAGAGCACTGCCTGAAAGCTTCGTTTCAGTAGTAGAAAGCGTGGGTTCATTCCAAATCCGTTAGGTCGAGCTAGCATCGCTTTAGCCCGTCCCGTCTCGTCTCCTATCCCCTCCTTCATCAGGGACCAGATAATAACGCAACAATACCACGGGGTGTAACCGAATGTGACGTTGTCCGTTTTCGATTGGCCCGCGCGCTTTCCCGCTATCCCAAGCGATTGGCAGAGAAGTGCTGTGAGGCAGTCCTAGCCCTCGACGCTCGGCGTCGGAATCTCCGGGGTGGGGCTGCGCCACCCTGGGGAGGCCCGCGCGAGAGCCCACTCCACCCTCAAGAGGTCGCGTTGCCGCCAGACCATTCGATGCTTATCAGCGTCCCAGTCGCGTTGTTGTGCAGCGGTCTCGCGAGTACCAATTGACGATCCTGCGGGATGACCGGCGGAAGTTAGATCAGTGGTGTGCGTGTCGCGCGCTGGACTTCGCCGAGGGGTGCCGCTTAGCAGCCAAGACGCGGTCCGACGAGAG